GCATCCTCCAGTACCAAATAATTTCACTCTGCAAAACGACGACTAGATAATCTCATGAAAAAAATTGAAAAACGATAGATGTTATAACGATTATGATGCGGTGTTCAAAGAATGGCTTCCAGAAAAGGCTGTTTCAGCCTGTTTTGCCACATCATCATGTAATGAAATTGAACAGGTCGTCAACAAAATTACATCCTGTTTTTGATGGCTCTGCCAAAGAAAAAAATCATGCTTCTTCAAATCACTGTCTCGAAAATGGAGTGAATTTGATTGAATTGATTTCTTCTATATTGATTGCTTGATTTCAGACTTGAAAAGATAGGTGTGATTGCTGATATCCGAAAGGCTTTTTTTTACAAAGTAGTAAAAAGAACGAGGACCGAAATTTTCTGAGATTTTTATGGTACGATGAAGAGGGTAATTTGCAGATATATCGACATGCCAGGGTAGTCTTTGGATTGTCTTGTAGTCTCTTCATGCTTGTTGTAGTTATTCATATTCATCTCGATTCTTCCCTCAAACATCCGGTAGAAAATTTCCAAATATTCAATATCTCAAAACTGAAGAACAGTTGATAACTGCATAACAAGTGTGAGCAGTGCGAAAAAATTACATCATTTCATTTCAGATTTCACTCAAGTTATGTAAAATTTGGCAAATTTGATCTACGTGACTGGGAATTCTCTCTTGCGAACCATTTCGATTCTGAATTTGATATATTATGATTTATCACCTGTATTAGGATTGATATGGAATAGGTTTTTGATCGCATTGGATTTATTTGTTGAGTGCAAATAATTTCTCGTATTTTGCTACAAAAAATCTGGAATTTAAAAATTGGTTGGGATGCAGTGGTTGCTGAAGATATTAAAGAACAATTCCTGCATTGGGTAGAAAAGTTACCTTCTTTCAGGAAAATGAAAATACCTTGATAGATATCTATATCTGCTGCTACTAGGAAAAGCTTGCATATATTTTGCGATGCAAATAAAGAGACATATGCCTCTGTAATTTTTTCAGAACTGAATCATCACACGAAGTTAATTTACAGTTGGTTCAAGCTAAAAACAGAGTAGCACCAATAAAAGATATAACGATTCCCATACTTTAGTTGTTGGGGGGCCACCATTGGTGTTAGATTGTTGAATTCTGTTTTGGATTCTAGGGTTGACAAAATGAACTTGATATATTCTGCTGGACAGACTCAACTACTGTTTTGGTTTGGATTCGTCGAGGAAATATCTGGAAGCCATTCGTCTGGAATAGAATTCAAGAAATCCGGAAATCTACTTTAAAATCATTCTGGTTTCATGTACCTGGTCACATGAATCCGGCTGATCTTCCATCGAGAGATTGTTTGTCAAATCAACTATTATTGCTGAAATGGTGGGAGGATCCAGACTGGTTGAGAAACAGAAATGATTGGTCAAAGCAAAATTTTGAATTGAACGAAGATGATATTGTCTGAATATGACGGGTTGAATTTTCAGGTTTGTTTATAATAGTAGAAATCCAACTCGTGAAAAGATCAGGACATCTTTCTGCCGAGGAATTAAATAACGTGAAGTGCATTTGATGAAAATAATTCAGAGTGAATCTTTTAATGGGGTTGAAAAAGGTAAGATTCAAAGTCTGGCCCCTTTTTTGGATGAAAAAGGTGTTATCAGAATAAAAACTAAAATCACTGAACGTGATGATTCATATGATTTTCTTTATCCTATTTTACTACCTTCAAGACATTTGGTGACTAAGAAAATTATTCTTCATTTCCACCAACAGAGCTGCCATGCAACAATATTTTTGGATTTCTAGCGGAAGAAGAGTTGTGAAAACATGAAGTGTAGGAGATTCAATTTATATCCTTTGAATGTTTCGAGTACAGCACTACCTATTGATCGAGTCAAAGATGCTGGTATTTTTGAAGTTGTTGAAATAGATTTAGCTGGTCCTCTTTTCTTGCGATCTAAAGAGAAAGTTTGGATTTGTCTTTTCACATGCGCAGACTACAGAGCAGTACATTTAGAGATCGTTACATCATTGTCAATTAAAATTTTCATACTCGCTCTGAGACGACTTATAGCACGATAATGGCAGAAATTTTGTAGGCACTGAAAATTATTTGGAAAAATTGGATTGGAATAAGATATCAGAAATTAGTGCTGTACAGAGAATTAAATCGAAATTCAATCCACCAGCGGCAGCATGGTGGGGCGGTTGGGGGGAGCGCCTCATTAGAATTGTGAAGGAAATATTAAAAAAACAATTGAAGAACTTTTTTCAGTTCTATGCGAGTGTGAAGCAGTGATAAACACAACACCTTTGACTTACCTTCTAGAAAATAATGATGATCTGGTACCATTAACACCGTCGATATTCATACAGGATATCAAAGAAAATGGAACTCCTGATTTGGACAACATAAATGCTGATTCTACAAGAAGACATTGGAAATATTTGCAGAAGTTGAGAGAAACCTTGAGGAGAAGATTTAGAAACGAATATCTAAGCCATCTAATATTATTCAATGATAGAAAACAAATTCGATAAGTGAAAGTAGGGGATTTAGTTCTTATCAAAAACGAAGATTTAAAGAGACTCGGTTGGCCTATGGATATTATTGAAGAGGTATTAGTAGGGAAGGATGGCAAGATTAGGCTAGTAAGATTGAGAACTTCGAATGGACACTTGATGCGACCAAATCAACGATTGTATCCTTTGGAGTTGGATATTCAAGAAGATGAGCTTTTTAAACTTAAATTCAGAAGTGACAGAAAAGAAGAGAAAAGAAAGTTCAGAGAAAAGTATAATAAATTCAATTTACCCTATGACAATAAGATTTTTCCTTTAAAAGATATCATCATTGATGTTGAATTGGTACATCACAAATTATCGAGGAAGAAAAGATAGAAAAAATTAACAAGGCTGTGAACATTCTGACCAACTTCACAAGATCTAATAGATTCATAGAAAATAAAAAAAACTTTTTGATGACATTAGAGTCACTCATGTGTTTCTGAAAGATAATACTGACATAATTGTCCCCAAAGCTGACAAAGGTAACTCGACGGTTATGATGAATAAAAATGAATTTCTTGAAAAAGCTACACAAATTTTGAATGATAACGACACGTATAAGATTTTACCACAACAAAAAAAAATCAAAACAAACCCAACAAACTGATTAAAAAACTGCTTGAAAATAAATATATAGACAAGAAATGTGCCGAATACCTCACACACACACACACACACCGATTTTGGACGGCCGATTTTATACCGGTCGTCCAAATTCCAATAGTGAACCAGATGTGGGTACGGGACCTGGCAAACACGCCGACTGGTGATCGGCGTCGATCACCGGTAAGCATGTGTGCAAGGTCCCGTTGCCACATGTGGCTCATGTTTTTTATTTTGATCATCCAACTATTTTAGATGTTCAACCATACTTATCAAAAAGACTTTTGAGCGAAATGATACATATCCACAATTCATTTTTTAAAAGACTAAATTTCATATAAAATACGTTTCAGCGATTTCAGAATTCTTCTTCACTCTCGTATAAGTAACTGCGTTTAAAATACCACATTCGACAGATGTGATGCCATCACATAAAAATTCAAAACATTTTGAGGAGACATAGTTTTTAGGAATTTTTTTTTAGCTCTTTGCAAAGATGCGTAAATCATGCACAGAAATTACTTTCAGATACAAACTGAATAAGTACTACCCAAAATAAGTACTTCCACATGAACATTCAATTACACAAAAAAAGTACTTTCAAATTAACTACTTTTTTAATTTTAATATACCTCAAAAACATGACATATTTCCTATAAAATATTATTCTTACAGTTTATCGGTAATTGAAAAAATTACTGCATCTGAAGTAGGGATGCGATGAAAATTGAAAGAAAAGTGAAAAAAATGTTGGGATATGAATTTGAATTCATTGTTTTATCTTTCATTGAAAATAAAATCCATATTTTGAAGTTCAATGATGATTATATTGGAAAGTTTTTTTTGACATCATTTTTGGTTAGTACTATAAGAAAATGGTCCCTTATTCTTCAGAAAAAAATTGAAGTCTAAAAAATGACTGTGACTATATAATCGAGACTTAATCTCTTTTCAAACCACATTCCAAAATGTATATGATTTTTGTGAAGCAAGATGAATATACGATAGTACTACTCAATTCAATTCAAACTTCTACTCAATCAAATATCTCTTTTACAAAATTCCAAATATAAAGTCTGTTTCGTAATATGAAATGATTATTAATTTTGAAACTAACCCACAGTCAGAACAAGAATACAGGAAGAATAAAATCAAATTATGCCATATAAATAAGTTTTGCGGTGTTGCCAACTTTATATCAAATGTTAGTGACGTCATGACAATCCTTTTCTTGATTTTGAACTAATGACATGAAATTATGAAAAATATAAAACGAAGTACTATCAATCGTAGTTTTCACGGTTTTCCCAATATCAGTGAAAAGGTCCATTAGGCTTGGGAACGACAAAATAGATATTAACATTATTTTAATGTTCCACCTTCAGAAAACTTATTTCAGCAAATAGCCTATGAAGCAAGTTTTCAAAATTACTCAGAAAGATATTTTTTAAATTTCAAAGCTGGAAATTCAACTTTCCTCTAACTTTCTTCTCTAATAAATAAAACTTACAATTTCGCCCAATTCTGCATGATCGTCTTAGAGAAAATAAACTTTATCAAATAATATGGCGAAAATGTATTAAATTAAAAAACAACAATCAATATTGTAATTATGTTTATAATGACAAACCATTTATTTCTGTTTCAGAAATTGAATAAACGTTTCTTTCCACTTAAATTCACTCATAAGTTGACTTCTATTAGTGGGTAGGCAAAAAAAGTCAACTGGAAAAACTTCAGTCATCAATCATTGTACATTTTGTGGCTACATTAAATAACTGAGAGAAGTGATGTAGGTTTTTTAGCAATTAAAACACCCCAAATTAATAATGAATTTCGTTACACATACAAGCTCTACATTTAAGTGTTTAATATGACATATTATCGTTAGACATGTATCTTGGTAAACTGCAAGTAAGTGACACATTTTGAAACTGTTTTTGTGACACCTAACATCGATATTTATTTATTCATTACAATTCTAACCTAGTTTAACTGAGTTGAGTGACTGCTGTTGTCCCTCATGAAAATCTATTTATTTCGCATGTCGTTACATTTCAAGCCCAAACCTACAAAAGATCAATAACTTTAAAACACACAAATGTAAAAATGATAATAACTCACCCTTAACGTATAATCCCAAGAGCCAGTAGAGAGAGCTGTTCCATCAGGAGATACTTGTAGACACGAAACTCGATTTTCGTGACCATATAGGAGACAAACCCTCACACATTTGAGAGTGTCCCAAACATTCACTGTATAATCATTGTAACCAGCAAACAGGAGACGACCTGGAAATTGCATTGAGAGGTAGAGCTAGTTCCTCTGGCATAGCATGAATCTACAGAAACCCTGCTAAAACTGAAATAGCCTTCTATAGGTATTTTATACCAAAAATGTTGATATCATCAGAAAATAAACTGTATTTACTATATCAAGTGTAGTTCATAATGACTGTAGTTCATCTTCTGATGATGTTAACTTCGTTGGCTGTTGGTGTGGAAAGTGTGTTTCAATGTAGTGAAATTGAAATAATAATAATGGTAATAATAATATCGTTTATTATGCATAAAAATACATTTATACATAAAAGGAAAAGGGTTAGCCAAAGGCTATTTTCCACCCCTCCCAAAAATTATACAGTGAGTATAAGAAAATAATTATAAACATACTTATTTACTATCATAACAA